TTTGGTTTGGGCTGCAGTTGCTCAACTGCAAAGCTTTAAAGAGGCTTCATGTAACTAGATCTAAAATTGTTCTTTTAAAGTTGCATTCAAATTAACACAGGGTGATGTTCATGAAAGTGTTTTGAAGGCCGTGTAATGAAAAATTTTGAATTAGTGCTAAATAGTCCCTCTGATATGTCTACCATCTATTTCTTAGCTGCTGAGATATGGAAAAAGAGTTTTATGTGTTCTCCAGAGAAAATTTATACTACATAAAACATATACAAAGTGCACTTAGTACACGAAACACACTTAATCATATACTGATAGGGGTTGGTGTTTTCATCTTGTCATCTTCTCTTGTTTGAAATAAGCTTCTCTGCTCTGTACAAAGGAAAAGTTGGCGGTGAAATTGCAGTTGCAGAAACAACCTGAATTCTGTTACTGACTATTGAGTCAAGCATCATACTAGGATCTGAACAACAAGTTTTGAAAGTGAATTCCAGACAGTATTTGTCACTCTACCGTATGTAGTCAGAGAGTGAGAATATTGAACTGACCTTTTCCTGTTTGTTTATTTTTAAGCAATATATATTGCTTCTCACCTTTTAAATTCAGATGCTGAAATAAACTGTTGCTAATGCTTCATCAAGCTTCAAAATAGTGATCTTGCACAGAAAAGGTCAGTTATCCTCAAGAAAGTGGAAAACATGCAGCTTGCAGTATATATGATTTGAGTATCAAACTGTCATCCGGAAGGTTCCATCAGTTTAAATACAAATTAATTATGCCTTAGCATCTCATTAAATTATACGTAATGTCTCTGTCTGTCTGAAAATACATCCATTTTTCATAAGCAGCATTAAAGAACTATAAAATCCTTAGTTTGTATGGAAGAGTAGCTCTCTGTATCGCTATGGCATCAGAGGAGGTGACCCCAAGCAACCTTTGAGGAGGGAAGCTTGTTGAACAGCAGTGCAGGAGTAGCCCAGAAGAGGCTGTTGCTATGTCTGGACCAAAAGCTTTTTGTATGTGTGTGTGCACACGTGTGCAGTTATAGCGTGTTACAGTCATAATTGTGTGGTAATGTCTGTGGCTGTTCCTTTAGGTGGATATCCCCATATGGGTTGTGGATCTCCGTCATGAGCTCACCCATGGAAAGCTACCCCAGCTGGCGCTCTGTCGCAAGGGTGAGTGCCGTCTCAGCAGGACATCCTCTGCAGGTGTTCCCCTCCACTCAGAGGTGTACTGGAGTGACGTGCCACTGCGTCCTCCCAGGCCCCACTGCTGTTGTCAGAGGACCTGGGCTGCCTGCGGTGTCTCTAGAAGAACAGCTGCTCCCTGGCCATAGTGCCTTCTGTTTGGGGACCGCACAGGGCGCCTAAAGGCTCGTGGTGGTGGTGACAGCTACGGTGTGAAACACCTGGAAGAAGTTTACCTCTGTCAAACCTGCACAGGTGCCCAGCAGGCTCAGCATGAGGGGGGGAGCTGTGGTATGAAATGTCTGGTAGGGGACCACCTCCGTCATATGGAGCTGGTTAAATGGTGTTCTGTGGACAGCATGCAGAATGGAGAACAAAAAAACATGGGAGAAGTGAATATTGCTCTTCCCTTTACGCTGTCTTCCTTTCACATTTTGGAAAGTGGAAAACACAACTGGAAAAAGTCAAAATTTGACTCTTAAAAAGGACTGGAGGTTCTCTGACTTTCTGGGAAGGAATGACTTGTCATTTGATGAAAACAGCCAGCTGTCCTTGTGGAGATGTTAATCTGCCTTCCTGGCTCCAGGCTGTATTGTGCTGTAGGGGAGATGATCAGAGACTTTCTCCTTCTCTGAGAAATAAATACTGGAAACAATAGTTCAGCCTGGTTGTTTCTTCATGGTATGTGGAGCTCATGTCAGTGGAAGAGCTGTAGAGGAAACAGGGACTTGAAAAAAATCCATTTCTGCAAGGTGCAGTAGGTATTGCAAGTTTGACTAAATGACCACCTCCCAGCATGTAAAGGGATTCCCCCATTCCTGGGATTTTTGGGTTAACTACTGAAGTCAGGTAAATAACCTTAATCAAGTTCTCTTGGCTAAGTTAGATACTGAAATGGTTATGGGGGGGAAAAAGGGCCTCTGCTGTGCATCTGTTTCATTCGTGATTACTGTAGTCTCTGCACAAAATATGAATGTTCTTATAGACACTATATTTATCATAGTGATTAAAAAAAAAAGACTCATTTTCTGATCAGGTGTTTACCATAGTGATATAAAAAAAAAAAAAAAGACTCATTTTCTGATCAGACCTCCATGCTGGGATTTGGTTTCTGTTTAAATCTGGCCTGGCTTGAGCGAACAGCAATGTAGAAGCATGTAAACTCTTGTTGAAAAAAAGGCAGTGGATGGATGTCACTAGGTCTGTGATGTTGTTTTTCTGTGTTGTCATTCAACTTTTTATTATGGAGTCGTGTGTAATTTCAGAGTTTGACTTGCATACCCCATTTCTTTTCACAGTGCAGGTTAGCAACATGCCACATACATATGTTAAAAATGTCTCACTGAGAAGAGAATGTGTGTTCTCCTGTAGGCTGTGATGTTGTACTAGACTGGCTGCGAAAGACGTACTGGAGTCGTCAGCTGGGCAATAATTTGTGTGAAGAAAGTGAAGATGAGGATGAACAGGAAGATACTGAAGCAAATACAGAGATGGACAGTGACACATGGGAAATTCAAACTCTGCAGCATGAGACCTGTCAGAAACATAAGGAATTCCATGGTAAGTGTTCCTAAAACTGCATCAGATAAAAGATTTGTGTCTTTCCCATGCTAGAGAAAAGAGTCATCTTCTACCGCCCCAAAACCTAAGGATGTGCTTCTGCTAATGTTATGGGACTGCTCTTTGGGTCTTGAGAGATTCTTGGGGTGAAGGCGGTGAAGGGTTTTTTGGGTTTTTTGTGGTGGTAGTTTTTTATATATTAACTTGATGCATTTGTGGCATAACATCTCATACTTCTATTGGATATCCATTACCCTGATCAGTAACAGCAGTTACACTGATGTGGTCTAGGGCCAAGCCTTGTAAATTCTAGTTGCAGTTCATGATTATACCACTGAGGCCACTAATGAGAAGGACATGGTCCTTCTACAGCCATTGACACTTGTAGATTCATAATTTAAGCAAGAGTAAGATAAAGGCAGTTCAGTCTGTTTCTAAATACTTGGTATGTGAACAGGAAATAAGTGTAGTTGTTAGCAGTATTTAAAAAATCACTGTTAACTCAGCCTGTACATAGTTTGATGAGATGCCAGGTGCAGAACACAGAGACATTTAGCAACTTGATCCAAGATCAAGTACTTTTCTAAAAGTAGTTTTCTAGTTTGGTTGACTTACTGGAGGAAGCCTTCTAGTCTGACTTGAGCAGGAGCTCAGGCTAGATGATTAGTCTGAGTTTGATAGCTGTAAGGTAGCAAAAAGTAGCTCAAACAACAATACCAGCTAATCATAAATTTTCTGACAAAACTTGGTCTGCTTATGGGAAGTAACTCCGTCCAACAGGTTGTAGGAGCTGTATTCAAGCTCTAGAAGTTTACAGAAGTTCTAAATTGACCCTTGCTATTTCCCGGAAGGCCAGCCTAGGTGACTATAATGACTTTTCTGGCTTAAGATCTATTTCTTACAAGGCAGAATTACAGAATGATTGAGGTTGGAATGGACTTCTAGAGTTCAACCCCCCTGCTCAAGTGAGGACACCTAGAGCACATTGCACAGGGTGGCATCCAGGCAGGTTTTGAAGATCTCCAAAGAAGGAGACTCCACAACCTCTCTGGGCAGCCTGTTCCAGGGCTCTGCCACCCTCACAGGAAAGAAGTTCTCTGTCATATGGAGATGGAACTTCTTGTGTTTTAATTTATACCCTTTACCCTTTGTCCTGTCACTGGCCACCACTGAGAAGCGTTTGGCCCCATCCTTTTTACATTCTCCTCTCAGGTATTTGTACATGTTGATAAGATCCCTTCTCATTCTTCTCTTCTCCAGGCTAAACAGGACCAACTCGCTTAGTCTTTCCTCATAATGATAGATGCTCTAGTCGCTTAATCTATGCCAGACCCTCTCTAGAAGCTCCACTACTGGGGAGCCCAGAACTGCACCCGGTATTCCAGGTGCGGCCTCACCAGAGCTGAGGAGAGGGACAGGATCCCGCCCCCTTGACCTGCTGGCAACACTTTTGCTAACACAGGCCAGGATCCCAGTGGCCTTCTTGGCCACAAGGGCACATTGCTGACTCACGGTTAACTTCTTGTCAAGCAGGATTCCCAAATCCCTCTCCGCTGAGCTGCTTTCCAGGAGGTCAATCCCTAATCTCTACTGCTCTTCGATATTCTGATCTGTATTCCTCCCCAGGGGCAGGACTCTAGACTTGTTCTTCTTGAACCTCACGAGGTTCCTCTCTGCCCAACTCTCCAGCCTGTCCAGGTCCCTCTGAATGGCAGCACAGCCCTCTGGAATGTTGGCCCTCCACCCAGTTTGGTGTTGTCCACAAACTTGCTCAGGGTGCCCTCTGCTCTCGTCCAAGTCATTTATGAACAAGTTGAACAGTACTGGGCCCAGTACTGACCTCTGGGGGACACCACTGACCACAGGCCTACAACTAGACTCAGCCCTGTTTGTCACCACCATCTGAGCTCTGCCATCCAGCCAGTCCTCAATCCACCCCAATGTCCACTCATCTAACCCCCACTTCCTGAGCTTCCCGATGAAGTTGTTATGGGAGACAGTGTCAAAAGCCTTGATGAAGTCAAAGCAGTACACATTCACTGCTCTCCCCTCATCCATCTATCCAGTCATCCTATTGTAGAAGGCTATCAGGTTGATTAAACTCAATTTCCCCTTGGTGAATCCATGCCGACTACTCCTGATCACCTTTTCCTTGACAAAAATCCCTTCTAGATACCTTCATAGTGGGCTCCTTGGTAGCTACAGTACCTGCAATTCAGCTATGTTAGCTACACTAGTCTTGTGCTTTGAGACTAATACAGAATTAGTTAGAACGATTGAAAACTACAGGCTATATCTAAATTTTGGGACCCAGAAGCACCAACAGCTGAATTCCTGGTTTGATCCCTCATGATGAAAACAAAATAAGTCACATGAGTCCGGGGAGGGGACAGAAGTCTTCAGAGTGTTGTCTGACTTTGGATTTGTTATTTCATTTCATTGACATGTTCAGCAGAACTAAACAGCTTGCCAAGATACTTTTGGAGATAGATGACAAATTTCCAGGGTACCAAAGATCCCTTGTACAGCAAGGCAGGTTTATGCGTTCCCTGTGTAAGTCATATATTTATGTTTATTTCTAGAAAAAGTCAAAGATGTGCTGATATCCTACAAGAACGAGCAGTTCCGAGTAAGTGCTATCTGATCATCAGCTCTTTTTTTTTTTTTTTCCTTCACCTTTCCTGCATTGGGGCAGTAAGTCTTGTCTTCATTCTTTTTGCAAATTGATGAGCTGATGCTCTTGGTTAGACCTCATTTGAAATACCTGAGAGCTAGAACAACTAAATTTCTGTGGTAGAACTTTATTTAATATAATTCTAGAGGGTGCACTATTTTTCTTTTTCGGTGGTCTGTATCCTTCCACAGTTAGAATCTATCAAGAAGGGGATCCTGGAGTGCATTAGGAAGAGCATTGCTAGCAGGTTGAGGGAGATGATCCTCGCCCTCTCCTAGCTCTGGTGAGGCCGCACCTGGAGTCCTCTGTCCAGTGTTGGATTCCCCAATGCAAGAGAGACATGTAATTGGATTGAAAATATGCTATGGGTTTATTCTTTTATCTTTTAACAACAGATAGCTTATGCATGTAAATAATTGTTTCCTTGAACCATGAGAGCAATTGAATTTTCCAAATTTCAGATAAACATTACTTAAAACTTTTTTAGAGTGTGTGTATATATATATGTGTGTGTGTGTGTGTGTGTGCATCTAAAGCCCTTAAGATGGATGGACATAGCAGCAAAACTGTAGCTCTCTTACTGTGGTTAAAATGTAATGTGTAAATGTCTATTTTATCTGTACCTTTTTCATGTAGGAAGGAGAACTGTTGATAGCAGAAGTTATCTTTGTAACAATATAACTGTGTGGTTCCTGATCAGATCCTATACAAATACTTCTCTAGCTATTTGTTAATTCATTACTATACTTAAAGTTTTTAGGGTGTAAACCAGGGCAAAATCAGCTTTCTGATGGAGACTGTGTACTTTGTTGCCCAGTTGTGCCTTTGGGCAAGTCAGTCACAGTGTTTAGACCATGTCTTTATGCTTTTTGTCATATAAAGTATATCTTCCATCTAGTGCTAGTATTGGGCATATAGGTTAAGTGAGCTAATTACAGTCCTGAGAATCATGTATTTCAAACCAATGAGTTATTATTTCTGCTGGTTAGACACTCGGCTGACTACAGATTGCCTAGATGGCTGTGTTGGTTTGATGCTTAAATCTTCTGTGTGCATAATATGATCAGGAAAAAAAAAACAAAAACAAAAACAACTTGTTCTGAATAGGTAGCCTGTACCCCAACACTTTCTTTATGTGGAATTAATGATTCAAAATGAGTCTGCCCCAGTCTGTGCTGAAGTCAAGGAGAGCAAGTATTAGGACAAGAATGAAGACATCAGAAGTGTTTTTTAATGCAAGCTTTTCCAGAGTACGACATAACTTACATGAACTTTTAATGTTTCCATGGTAAGAGGTAATTCCTCCCCTTTAAGTGGTATTGAGGAAGTAAATATGGCATGTGCATCTACTCTTCATAGCAATGCCTCTTTTGCTGCAACTACCAGGAGATGGTACATTATCTACTCTGTACTAATGCTTGGATTTCTTCCTTCACTCAGGTTATGCAGACAGTGCAATCAATTTCAAAGTCCCGAGAACTGTGGTCTAATTCTTCTTCAGAGGTGGACTGGATTTTGGCTCAGATCAAAGACCTGATGCAAGAGAACAGGTACAGTCATAGAACTGCCGATGGGGTTGGAAGGGACCTCTGGGGAAGATCTAAACCTGTGCTAGTGTTCAACCGTCCCTTCAGAAAAGTGTTTTCTTATGTTCAGGTGTCCTCTGTTTAAGTTTGTGCCCATTGCCTCTTATCCTGCCATTAGGCACCACTGAGAAGAATCTGTCTCAATCCTCTTTATGCCCTTAATTCAGATATGTAGAAATGTTGATAACCTTCCATTGAACCTTGTCTCCTCGAGGCCCAGTAGTCCGAGCTCTTCCTGCCTCTCCTCACATGAGAGATGCTCCAATCCATTGATCATCTTTGTGGACTTTCAGTGGAGTTGCTCCAGTAAATCCATGTCTTTGTTGTACTGCATAGCCCAGAACTGGACACAATGTTCCAGATGTGATCTGATCTTGTTCTCTGTCATTTGCAGCTGCATGAGGTATATTCAGCATGGGTAGTGTGGACATCCAAAGGAATCCAGCATGCACCTCAACTATCAAATTACATCTTCCCCCAGAAGACTTAAACTTAGAATTTAAACTATAGCAAATTCCATTTGTGATTTGAGGCAAGCAAGGATTTGCTTTCCTGTGATTAGCCTCTGAAACAATTTAGTTGGTTTTACAATTCCAGACTTCAAGCCAAGCCTGTAGAAAGGAAGCATGTGCTTTTTTGGATTAGAAGAGCTTTGGGAGTGAGTGGCTAGCACTTATTTCTGTTACCTTACAGATTCTCCTTCCACTCCTTTTGCCTCTTCCTTTAAGCCGTGTTAACTCCAGGAAGCCCTGGGAATGGTGTGTCAGGTGCTTTTACTCTGTGTTTCTGTTGGCCTTGACAGTAGATGTCAGGAAGGCAAGCCGCAGTCATGGATGGTTTGAATATATTCACATATATGCTTGTTCTTGGGAGCTGGCAGAGCCAAAGCAAGGTGGAGTCATGAGATGCAGGGGAGTGTGGAAGTTCTGGTAACTCAACTTATTTTTCCTGAGGAGTCTCTCATTCCTCTCACCCAGATCAGGAAATAAGAGAGAAATGGGCCAAGGAACTTGGTTGGTACCTTGCTTCAAAGCAGGATAAGTCAGCTAGCGTAATGGGAAACTAAGTGCTGAGCATAGGTCTGCTGCTGAAACAACCTGAGCTACTAATGTGGATGGTGTTAGCTTCCAAGTCCTTGAACAGGCCCTGATCATACATCACACAGCAGCTCTTTGGAGAAATGCTGGTATTCAGAAATGCAGAAACGTGAGTTGCCACACTCAGCAGACAAATCACAAGTGCACTCCCTCTTATGGAGGGGAAGACAAAGATTTGGGTTATTTGCATTGCTGGTTAGAGCCCTCAGAATGGCAGAGCCACCTCTAGAATTTGACCCTCTTTCGCATAGCTTAACTTTGAGCATCAGCTTCATATCTGGTTATTTTTATTCTATCATCCAGATCCAACTTTTAAAGAACACAAATTGTTATATTTATAGCTAATGGTAGTGTATGCATATCTCCACCTTCTGGAGCAGATGCTCTGAGTAGTGATGTCTTTTAACCTCCTACATGTTTTCTTTGGGAGTCAACAGTGATTAAATGTGACTCCCAGAAATGATTCATGCATGTGCCTCTGCCTCTTTTTATTAATAATACTATATACTATACTATGTGTTGAAAATCAGACCCCATCACACTTTCTTTTCCACTGATCTTTATATAGCAACATTAATACAGAAATTCAGCACAGAGTTTCTCTTAAATGCAAATTTAATCTTTTTTTTGGAGGGAATTCTCCATTAAATGTTAATGTGTGAAGGGACATAGATTCTCTTAACCTTTCAGAAGCTTAATCAAAGTTGTATCCTCAATAGCCCTTGCTACCAATCCATTCTGCAGTTGTAGCCATCTGACATTTGTGTGAGAGAAGATACTGGAAAAGGAATGATTACACAAGCAATTACAACAGAAAGTCACTGCTTTCCCCCACCTCAAATACCACAGTGTTAATTGCATCTGTTCTGTTTTTAGTGTGTGCTGGAACTCTCATCCTGTATCGCCTCAAATACCACAGTGTTAATTGCTTCTGTTTTTTGTGTGTGCTGGAACTCTCATCCTGTATCAGTTCCATGGAGCTTGTGCCTAATGGCCTCCCTGTGGACAAAGTTTTCTGAAGGACTGACTGACAGTCATTCCTTTGCAAATGAAAATGTGGTTGCTACTGCAGTCTGTGTATTTTCTGTGTATTAATTGAAGGACTTGCAGGACACTTCTTACTTTAATACAGAATTTTTCATTTAAAAAAAATCGAGAAGAGCAGGGTGGAAGGCAGGCAGGCAGAAAAAACAAACAAACAAAAAAAACCCCAAAATGTTTGTGACTTCATTAGGTTAGAATATATGAGTTATGAATTCAAGGGTAACAGGGCTTTTAAGATCTCTTAAATATGTCAAGTCATCTGTGAAAATACTTTTCTAATTTAGAATCCCTGTGTAATTCTGTGTAAAACCTTTCATCTCTTCTATCAGCATGTCTTATGATTAGGACTGTGCAGAAAGCAGGAGGTTCTTTTAGAGGTAAAGCAAAATGAGCTGCTTGCTGCAAAGAATCTTTTGCCCTCTGCTCCATGGAGCTAACCCAGTGGGCCTTCCCTAGTCAAACGTGCTTCTCTATGGAAACTACCATCTGCATGGAATTAATTAGTGATGAGCAGTTGTTGCATGTAAGAATAATAGTAATTAACTTGGAACAACTACCAGAGAAGAGGAGAATTGAAACTGAATTTGGTTTTCAGAATAAATTACATTCTGTATTTTGCCTTCATAAAAAGTTGGTGTCCCATCATATCACCTACCTCAGACAAAATGATAGTATTTGTGTTGTTTCTGCCCTCAGATATTTGACTTGTTATTTGCGTTTATTAAAACCCTATATTGGATCCAGATCATGCCTGGATGTTTAGATTTGGAAATCATTCCTATCTGAGAAAACATTAACATTTTTTATCCGTTCTTTGCCAACATAACTTATACTTAACGTGAGTCATACCATTCCACATCTAAACAGTCTGATTTTGAAAACAGTTGTTTTTGTGGAATTTATTTGATATTTGAAAATGAATGTCTTGATTTTTATGCTCAGTGTTGGGTTTGGCTCTGTATCCTTGCATGTTACTAAACACTGAACTCAGTAGAAGCCCATGGCTGGGTATAGTGATAGCTATGGAAATTTTACTTCTGTCCCTTCTGCTGTATTTTAATTTCAACTCAGTTGACTGGTGTCCTCAGTCTCCCACTTTACTTGTATTAAGGCAGTTTGATAGCGTATGAGTCCTTGAGCTGGACCATGTGGTGCTGTCCAGCTAAATGTAGTTCAGATGATAGCTGTGAGGGGAGGAGATTTCCAGAAAAAAAGAAGCTGTATCTGTTGTAGGGAAGAACAGTTGTGATCCAACAGCAGCTTGTCTGTTGACCAAGTATGTAAATGGGGTATTAAGAAGTGCCTTGACACCACAGATCCAGAAGGCCTGCTTTTCCTCTAGTTTAATCTAGTTTAATAAATTTAATCTAGTCCTGTTGGTTAGAGGTTCTCAAATCTTGTCTGACATGCTTGTAGAAGGCATAGATGATACTGCAATTACAGGTATTTCAGTATTATAAATACTTTAAAACAAAAATTTATATGCTGCTTATGAAATACCAGTGGTAGCTATTTTCCTATGCAATTTGAGTTATGTTTTCTTCACAGTTTTGTTTCTGTTTCAGTTTGCACAACTACACATCACCTCCAATTCCAATGGGATATAGCTATCCCAAAGCCGATATAAGATTTTAGTGCCCTACTGCAGGCTACAGCATCTCCTTTTAGTTGGGGCCATTTATATGATGCATATAATTACAAATATTTGTAACAAATATTTGTTACAGGCTAGTACAGGTAATATTTTTGAAATGCAAAAGCATAAGTGACATTAACGAGGCTCTCTCATTGTTCTAGAGAGACAGTGGCTGAAGCTCTTCTCAGTGATGGCTTTCTCATCCCGACAGTGGAATGTCTCAAGGTGTTAAATATCAAGTATGAAGGTTAGTGTCTCTAGCACCACATAAATAAAAAGTGCATAGTTAGTGTAATGCGCGGTCCTGTTCCTTTTTCTCTCATATTGACAGCTGTTATGCTCTGTATGTTATTGATATGTCTGGGTCCTTAAACATCTTCTTACCTCTTCTCCTGATCCTTTTAAGAACTCTGAGTTCTGCATGGCTAAGGAGATTTCTCCAAAAGCTGGCATCTCTGTCCATAGCTGTCCTAGTTACTGATTTCATGAATTCCTACTAATTAATTTTCTACATTAAGGATTTGAAGCACATCAAAAGTAATGGGGATGTATTTTTCACTTTATTCATCTCCGTTTTATCTTAGTTCCACACTGCTGTACACAGATTTGGAAATGCTTAAATTTTCTTCAAGGAAATTTGGTATCTAGAAGCCATGAAAAATAATAGTTTGTGTATCTTCCTGGGACTTTTTTGAAACATCAGCCAAGAAACCTTCCAGTCAAATTCATTAAGTTTCTTTAATTATAATGTAGTAGTAAGATTTTAGGAGCTTTTGCTCAGTGAACCTTCTCTTTGAAGTGTATTTTTAAGATAGAACAGTTCTTTGTTATGTGGACAATAAGCTGAAATTGGCCAGGGATTAGGAAAACAGAAGTAAATTTTCGTGCAGTTTACTAACAAACTTTTATATTAAGTATGTTGCTTATTTTAGTTTCCTAGTATAGAAAATGAATAGCTCCAAGTTCAGTGGTGTTTCCAGAAGAGAACATGGAACCAGTGATTTCAGTACAAGCTACTTAGTTTGCAACAGTTATTGCACCAATGTTTTATAATGAGTGCTTTTCTTTCCATCAGTGATTTTGCCTGCTTTCCTTCTTTTTGTTGCAGTAAATAAAGCGATACTACGGTTCAAAATTCCTCAGACGTTTTACTGCTTCTGGCAGCCCTTGTTGACAGGCCTTCTTTCCCGAAGCTTTACACAGATCCTAATCGAGAAGATGTTTACAGAGCTCAAGGAAGGTTCAGACTCTTCAGAACTTCGGCCCCAGTTCCTGATCAACTGGATTTCTGAGATGCTGACTAGCATTGCTAGAGTTAATGCAGGTGAGTCAATCTGCAATTTGTGTGAAGAAAATGTAAGAGTCTCTTCTACACCACTGCAAGGACTGGAAGGGTGGTGAGTACTTGAGATGGGAAGTGTAGTCAGTATGCTTCATGAGCACTTCAACATTGCATTTCTCATACTTTTTTTAACTGGTAGACTTGTGTGTCATGCATTTCTCCTCAAAAATGGGAATTACTATTTCTTTGGCAGCTTTACTGTGTCTTCCTCAAGATGTGAAAAGCCCATCTCTTCTATGAGAAATCAGCCTCTTGAGGGATGTTTTTTTCAAGATAAAGTTAATTCTAGTAGCTTGATTACCAAGTATAGATAACAAATAGACATGTCATAAGCAAATTCTTGAGAGTCCCTTCTTCTCAGTTCTTTATTCACTTAACTCAAGCATGCCTTTGTAAGATACTTGCATAGTCTTGATATCCTCTTTTAAATCCCATCCCAGGATTTGTCATGCTTTATAAACTTAGGTGAAAGTAATAAGTAATCTTTGCTTTCTATCCCTAATTCCTTAGAACCATTAAAGTTGACAAACTGTAGGTTTCATTCCAGAGACAGCTGCACTTTATTCCACCCATTAGAAGACCTTTAATTATTTGAAGTGTGTCATAGGAGTTATATCAACTGGACTTTCATATTGAGATCTGGGCCAGCAGGAGATTTCCAGCTAGTGTCATTTTGCCACCTCGTCTTTCTTTCTGTCAGTCAGACTTAGTGAACACCAAGATATTGCAAGTACTTGTGGCAGTCACAGGCTCGGATTTGTTTGATGCTTTCAGTCAGCGCTGAGTGTGTCAAGATCCCTGAACATGAGTCATTACCAGCTGTTAAATCTACTTGCAGTGCTGTCTAGAACGGTTTTGGGTCTTGGAAGCTCAACAGCATTTACTGGAGACAGTATTGTATAAACACAGCTCCATGACTCCCACATCTGCAATGGCATGCACAGTGCCAGCTTGGGAACCTCTGCAACTCACTGTTTATCAAATTCTATCTATCTACATTCTGTAGAGCTGATTTATCTGTCACTGCATTGCCAATTACTTCCAACAACCTTGGCACATTTGGTCAGCAAATCTGATCTTGAAATTGGTTTGGAATGCAAGCTTGTTTGAGGATCAAGGCTGCAGTAGAAATACAAAGGGATGAGGGATGTTTTTTGGTTTTGTTTGTTTTTTGAGTTTTTAGTACCTTATTGTCTTTGTTACTCTTTTTTGCAGGGAAGAAGAAACGCCGATTTAACAAACGGATACATGCGAAGGAGCTATTCCTCCAAAAAGTTCATTTGCATTGGATTAGACTCACTGATAGTTGCTTGGACGCTCCTTGCTGGGCAACTCCACACCTGCTTCAGCTGTAAGTTTGGCCCTGTGACCTAGAAAGGTGACAGCAGTGCTCTGTAATGGCTTTGGGCAACTCACATGTGGTAGGCTGAGTTAAGTCTATGCTCCCTTCCTTTATGTTTTCCAGAAATTATCAGGTATATAAAAAGCCATGATTGTTGCTGCTCATCTCTCTATTGATTCTACAAAAGAGAAGCAGCAGGACTTATTGGTTGCTCCTTCAAAAAGAAAGTGGAAATCATCTGGGGAAGCAGAGAAAAGCAGCCTGTCTGGAAGAAAGTGGCCTATAGCTGAGAAGTGGCTGCTTATACTGGTGCTGTGGGATTAGCATAGTTGGTAACTTTTTTACATGAAAAAAAGCAAAAGGAAAGTTCACTTATAAAGATCAGAAGTCCTTATTTTTTAACACAAAGATAAAACATTCTAGCATACACTTTTTTTTAGAATAATCAGCTTTGCTTTTAATAGAGACAAGCAAGCTGTCCTGGAGGAAGCTCAGACTTAAAGGGCTGCTTAGCTTGATAAACCTCAGTATGGAGTCTCTTTTTGCTTCTTAGACTTTTATGCTTTTTTCTTTTTTTTTCTCTAGGATTCTTACAAGCATGAAACCTCGTTTGCCACGTTCTTCACGGAAGAACCTTCTGTATCTCGCTTCTGTTTACACAGAAGGAGGTGGCCCTTTGTCCAGTCCAGGGCTGTCTTCAGACTCCAGTGAACAGCCAATTTATACTATAGAGAGCTTACAGTGGAGGGCCAGACAAGAAAGTCAGGCTAAAAATCATGAGCAGACTGTAGAGATACAAGAAGATGTGCTAGGGAGACATGATGGTGAAGAGGAAGTGGAAGAAGAAGAAAAAGAAGAGATGGTGACTGAAACAAATCCTTTGGAAGGACTTGCTCATTCTGATAACATGCTGGCCATTGCAGAAAAAAGGGCTGTGCTTCAGGGGTCTGCCTGGCAGATCATTGCAGGTAAAAAGTGACTTCTTTAGACTTGACTATCTACATCACTAGCAAATATTGACAGACATACAAAGGCCCTCTGGGGTCATTCAAAATAGAAGAATCATCTAAACAACTGCAGATTACTTTTATTTTATTTTATTTTTCAGAATACATGCATATCAACATAGGATTCCTTAAAAGCCATTATAATAATCAGAATACTTTTTCCTGGAGCATGTTGTTGCTGCTTTATTAACTTTTTAAGATCAGGCTCTTTGAAAATCCATGCATAAAATATCACTGTATCCAACTGATGGGGCAGCATATATGCCCTGTGAATGGCAAGGAAAATATGGTCATTTCCTGCATTTCAGCAGTGTGTGCTGAAAGCTTCTGCTTGTCATATTTAGGGCTATTTGAAAGCGTTGTTTGGCTACACTGAGAAGCACTGAATATATGTTGATAAGTTCCAGGTTCAAGGAAATTGAAGTCATGGCATGGTGGCGAGCTAAAGAAAGGAAAAAGGCAAGGAGTTTGTAGAGTGAATAAATGGTTTAGCTAGAGTTTTCCTAAAGGCTAAAGGCCCTGCTTCTACTTTTGTGGCTCCAGTTCCTGTTTACCCGACACTGTTGTTCTGCAATTGGGAATCTCAGTGAGTCCTAAAGAAACTACTGGGTGCAAATGTACTGTTCTGTATCTCCATGTATGTACAAACAGCTCCTTCCATTACAGGAGTATGCAGGGTGAATTTTTTGAGAAGACCATTTTCAAAGTATGGTTTTTATTTAACATACATAAATACTTCAGGTTCAAATGAAAG